GAATTCTGACCCCTAAAGCCTATAACCCTACCTTAAGAACCCAGAACCTACTTTTTTGTAGGGTCCCTATAAATCCCATATTAGGGTTTATAATAAGACCTACAAAACAATGGGTTTTGGGTTCTTAAGGTAGGGTTTAGGGGTCCAGGGTTTAGGGGCTTAGGGGTTTAGGGTTTTAGGGGGTTGAGGGGTTGAGGGTTCGGGGGCCTGAGCAGCTCGTAGTACCAGCAGTCTTCTTCAGGGTTGCTCAAGATACGGTTGATGATACAAATCCTGCATTACCTTAAGGACCCTAAACTATGGGAATTATGGTATCTTCCGCATTATGGGTCATGCAGGATTTATATCATCAAACGTGGGAATAGCACCCGCCAAGGGGCCCAAGTCGACTGATTCAGGCCTCTGCATTATCCCTAGACTGCCATTCGGCATGAATGCTTCAGGAAGCCTTTAAAAAAAGGGGGCCGAAATAATTACCAATACTCTTTTGTGGGCCCAAATAGCCCGTGGAGATCGGGAATTTTGAAGGCCCCAGCACCTGTCTGGGTGCGCCGCAAGGGTTAGTAGAGAAGCGCCATTCCTCGACTAAACCCTTCGCCCACGTGGCACAGACGGAAACGAGCTAAGCGCTCTGCTGTGCGTCGGGCCTTGAATAAAGGCCAGAAACCTTCAGGCAAGGCCACTTGGGACCTTGCTGTGCATCACGGTACCAACCCGGCTTTTCGTAAGCGCTTGCAGATGGGCAAGCAACAGCCATGGAAAAACGACAAATACAGATATGGTGGTGGAGATGGATCGCCGTCATGGTCTATGTGGCGGGGAGCGAAGCCACGTCGCACCCCACAGTGGGAGGAAGAGTACCAGTCGGATCGTCGCAAGCCTCCCACGAATGCCTTCCCAGCCTACGACAGCATGACTTCAGACGAGAAGATTACAGTGTTGAAGGAATCCAGATCCACCTCTACGCCGAGGCCACGACAGCCGACGCTTGTGCAAAGGGTACAACATGCCCTCAACACTGCCCGGAAGTCTGCACACAAGGTGGAGAAATTGAAGAAGGACCTGGAGCTCAAAGACGCACAGTGGCAGAAGTATACGAAGGACATCAAGATTTCCTTCGCCAAGGAGAAAGCCAGACATGCAGCCGCAGTTCAAGCCCTGGAGCAAGAACTCCAGACTGCAAAGGATGCTGCAGAAGCGGACCAAGTCTTGATCCAACAGGCAGCCGATCGCTGCTTCCTTGCCTCCGAGGGGCAGGACACCGCGATGAACGAGGCCACCTCTGCATGGGACTCGCTCATGGAGGACGAGGAGATGCCAGAGCTTGGGCTTACTGCGCGGGAAGTCATGTTGTGCATGGCACAGGCTGCGCAGAGAAACCGGGACGCTCTCGGGTCACAGAGAGGCGCGAAGCCGCCCTCTCCTCCACCACCTCCGACACCGACGCCTCAGATGGCTGGTCCTACAGCTGCAAATTTCGGTTCAGCTCATGGTGGAGAAGCAGCATACAATGCTATGTCTCCGAGGCCACCTGCGGCACGAGTGGAGCCCTACCCAGCAGCTTCGCCTCCACCCGTTCATCCTGTACCTGTCGAGGTCCGAGAACATCGCGAATCCCAGGAGCCTCCTCCCAAGACCCTGCATCCGGGTCAGCGAGATCCCCAACAGGCAAGAGTTCCTACTCATCAAGAAGCACCGCGAGAGGATGTGAAGGCTGCTACCAAGAGTCCTCCCTCCAATCACACGCTCCAAGGCCTAACCCTGCAGAGCAAGCTGGAGGAGAAGCGTGCCAAAGCCCTTGGAAATACTTCTTCGCAGCAACAGACGCATGCAACAGCTGCCCTAGATGCTGCAGCAGCGACTGGCCCTCCCAAGGAAGCCGAGACCGGAGATGTTCCTTTCATCGAGGACGACGACGACGAACTCAATACAGGTGCTCCTTCACCAGGCTTTGGGAGGCTAGAATAGCCCGCAGCCTGCCTCTGATAGAGCTTTCTTCGAGACGCCCCGGAGCTTGTACTCTGGAGGGCCAGGAAATTCTGGGAACTGCCACCGCCGGTGCTCAGTTCCCGTTTTTCCAGTTGCCCATCGGAGAATACCTGCTTCGAGTGCCTCTCGGTCTGCTCCCTTCATCCTGTTCTGAGTGCACAGTGAGAATTTCCGTAGGTCACTGTGAGGACGGGACAATCCCATTCCTCTCCTTTTCTTCATTATCCAGCGCAGCCCAAAGTTCGAGCATCCCTTCTTTATGGATTTTGCTCTCCCATGAAGTTGCCAGGCAGGGACCATTCGGGTTTAGTGGTTTCCTTTGCCTAGCCTCTTCTGCCTCACCAACTGAAGCATTGGAGCCTCACTGGGCTTGTGAGGTCTCTTGTGCTTCCTCGGCCTCTCCCTATAATCTTGGTCCACATCCGGCTTGTTGCCATATCCCTCTAGACTGGGGCCAAACAGGTATATCGGTGGCTCTGGGATACCGTCCAGTCATATGGAGGCCTTTTTCCTCGATTCTTTGTTCCCAAGACAATCTCTCTTTTCGTGGCCAGAGAGAACTGGGTTCTGCTCTGTCTGTTTTACACGTTCAGGCGCATCCGTTTGTGTTTGATGCTGCCGGAGATTCTTTGCCTCATGGTGTCTTCGGACTTTTCGACACCACTTCGGTTTTAGAATTAAGCCCTGAACCCGCGTTTCAGGCCATTCATACAGGTTGGGGCCTAACAAGCACATCGGTGGCTCTGGGGTGCTGTCCAACCAGTCTACTTCCCTTGCTCTTTAGCCTTTTCGGTTTTGTCGGGGTCTTCTATGTCCATCTTTTGGTCATTATGGTTTGGGCCCTAATCCGACTTTTATTGTACCCGCTCAAGGTACAGAACAGTCTTTTTGGCAGACTGTTTCTGCTGCCCGTTGCAGGTATCCCACACTCTGTGCTGAGGCCCTTGGATTGCCTTCGCGTGCAGACCTGCCACCTCGACCGATTAGGCAACCCAGTCCCCGCACACCCAAAAAGAGGTGCTAGAGGTAATCCTTCTCAAAGGACGCATAGGACGCCAGGTAAGTCGCTGTTAGGAGCTTTATATGGTCTCTTCTGCATGACGCTTCCTGTTCAGGTTTTTTCGGCCCCCAAACCTTGGGGCGAAGCAGTAGAGATCGTCCTAGCAACAGCTAGGCTGTTTCCTGAACCTCTCCCAGCCCCAGCGACTGAGGTACTCAACCCTGAGCTCTCTGCCAACAGGGCGACTGGTCCTATTCATACAGAAGGGCTCTCCCGCAATATCCACCATGCTCCCGAACAGTGCACTGAACCCCTTCTGCAAAATAGCCTCGATATCCTGGTGCCTCCGCTGGACGAGAGGCTTATTACAGCCCAGACCGACCGAACTGTGCAATGTTGGTGCTATGTTCTAGCGCCACACTACCAATCTGAGACATTGTCCTTTGCTCTCAGGTTCCCAGCGTCGGTTGAGGCCTTTTGCACCGCTGCCAGGGATGAACTCCGTGGCTTGAGGTTACGATACCTCCCACTCGTTGTGCCTACGTTCCCACAGCTTGCATCCGACTTTGCATCCCTCGTCGTTGTTCCGCTATGGTTGCATGCCTCCAATAAGCAAATCATTATTTACGATTTCAGCGCCATAGGAGGTCCCATATATGCGGGTTACACCTGGGAGCGAGTTACATATGGGGATTGTGCAAGTGAGGCATCACGACATGCCCTGCAGAATTGGTCGGTCTATGTGCAGGGACATACGCAAGCCCTCTTACCTAATGAGTCCTTTCTTGCTGTTGATGGTGGTGTCATTCAGTTTCAGCCCGAAGGCGCACCAGCTGTTTGGAGGGGCACACTGCAGGCAAGGCTTGATCGTCCGAATGCATGGAGTCAGGAGCCTGGAATCCCAGACTACGACACTGAATGGCCACTTTATATCACACATCATGATCAGCGCACAATATACTCTCAAAGGAGATTCCCAGGTGAGTCAACAGTAGCATGCATCGCCAATTTAGTGCAGAGGTCTCCGGACAGAGCCCTTCTTGTCACACCTCCTGGACGAGTCCTAGAGAATATTGATTACTTCGGGACTGCCTGCAGGGATGCTATTGCTGTGTACCCGCTTACGCCCTCCCCAGATCGGGACTGCATTGTGGTTTTCCTGGATCCACGCCAGGTTGACAGACATGTTACGCACATTCTTCTCGCTGAAGCCGAAATAGACCCACTTGCTTTGGTGCAATTCCTGGACCTCCATCCCCCCCCAGGGTATAAGATTGAGGTCTGGCCACGCGTTCGTGAGGATGGTCGTTTGCTTCTCACTGAGGGAGGTGTTGCAGTGTTTGGATACGTTCCGAACGTCCCCCCTGACGGCAGTGACGACGAAGATTCCATGCTTGCCTCCGGATCATCGTCAGGAGGTTCTCCCCCCCCCCAGGACCCCCTAGAGGTCCTCCGCCAGCTGTGCCTTATACACAGCTACCAGCCTCGTTGCTATCAAGAGCAACAAGCAGTACCGACACAGGACCAGCCAATACAGGTCGCTCAAGGTCTCCGCCTCCTCGTGGCAACCATGCCGCAGTTTCTGCACTAGCAACACGGCTCCTGTGTTGTGTTCGGAAGGTTGTAAAAGGCCAGGCACCTTATAAGGACCCTTGTAGTAATATACTCCAAGGCCCCCTTACTAAGGGATCCGCTACCGTCGGCAGCAAGTGTGAACATCTGCAACCGCTTGTGTCATCCTACATGACACATTTGCTCGTACCTCTGTTTTGCCGGCGTGTGCAGAGCTCCCCGAGCTCAGCAAAAATTGCATTAGGTGCAAGGCCCCGTGCATCCCCTCCCTCCAGTGCAAGCTGCTCAACGAACCTGAGTGTCATGATTCTTATGATAGACAGGTACTTCGGCATCTCAGAAGAGTCACCATTCAATTAGGTGGTTCTTGGCCATACAATGTTGGCGACCCTTCCCCACTACTGTGGGAAGAACACTCGGAAGAGTCTTCCATGCGTGGTTCAGACGAAGAACTTGTTCGATGGGTCAGCGTACTTGTTCTTAAGCCACTTTACAAGGTAGAAGATCTCACTATTGTGTTGCAGTTTCCTGTCACCGAAGTTGAGCTTTGCAGCGCTGTCCAAAATGCACGGCAATATGCTGCCAAGTTTGCATTTCCACATCTTAAGCTTGTCCAACCACAGCCGTCTGATGAGACTATTGTCCTCATTGCCCTGCCGGGAAGTCAAAGCCTTGCCAGTGTTGCGTGCATTGACTCCACTCGGCTTGATGGACGTCTCTATGCAACCGAGCTTCCTCCCTATGTTGACAGGCGAACAGTTCTTGAGCACGTCGACTTGCCTCCTGACGCTCATGTGCTGGTCTATATCGGCCACGATTTCCAGCCCTTACCAGACGGAGTGCATGCTCATTTGTTCCCTGCCATTACGATCACAATTATTGATGCGGACTCGCTTCCTCCCCCTTTCCACGAAGCGACACAACTGCTCCTACAAGGGCTCACTTGGAGCGCCGTTTCAGTCTTTGCCACATGGGCAACAGATGGTGTGTACTGTCTTGTCACTCCATATAGCTCCGACCTTTTCCGTGTTGACCAGAGCAGACCATGGCAATACAGACAACGTCTTGCTGAAGTTGTCGGGTCGCAGGCCCAAGATCTACGCATCTTCTCGGCAGCTCCAGCAGTCACAGATGCCAGCATTGGCGGATACCCCTGTCGCACTGTTCTCATAGGGGTCCCTAGGGTTTTTCTTGGGTTTAGTGATGAGGCTTTCTGTTTTCTGCTAGATTGCAGACCCCTTCTGCAAGGATGGAGGTGCTTAAGATCCAGAGGATCTTTGTTCCCCACTCGCTTGATTGTTGAGGAAGTTGCCGATGGTATACCACTTGGATGGTGTGTCGTCATCTATGGTGAAAGCTCAGAGCCTGGTTATGTGTCAGTCGGCCCAGGTACTGTCGTGCAGCTTGGCCTGGCCCCAAGGGCAGATGATCGTCCCTTCCTCTTCGTCTATGTGAGTTCCGCCGGTCCACCTGAAACGTTTCATACCGAGGCATCTGATGCAGATAATCATCGGACTCGGCCGGAAGATTCCAGTGATGGGAGCGCGCAGAACAACCCGCCAGAGGAGACCAACAGCAATGACCCAGCAGCTCCTGAGGTTCAGATCCCCGAACCCGTGGCAACCACCGCGACTGACAGAGATACTTTTGAGGCCGTGTTCCTCGTGCTCGTTCCAGGTTGCATGCGTGAAACCATTGTGTTGACGCTCACTGCGCCTGCCTCTATGCCGCATGTACTCGTGTCTGTCAACGAGCGACGCACGCATGCTGCAAGCAGACGTTTCCCTCACCTGATAGAGACCTTCCCTCAACCCGATACCTCGTTTGGCACATTTGTTGCGGTCCCTGATTGGGACTGCCTAGTTGCCACTGTGTTGATAGATGCGAGGGGAGCTGGGGGAACCTTCTTCGCTACCACTCTTCCCGCCAGGGCAGACCGAAGTTTGGTTCTTACACTATGTGGATACGATGCCACTGCAGATTTCTGCGTGTACATTCGGGATACCCCTTGGCAGCTCGTCGACAATTATCCTGTCCGTGTCTCCAATGGGGACCTTATGCTCATTACCAGACCTGACCACGCTGTGATCGTTTCGGCATTCCTTTCCGATATGCTTCTGTCCCCCGTCGGCTGGATCGCCGCGGAGCTGCTGCCTGTACCCAGGCCCAATGCTGCATGGTTTGTGACCACACCTCAGCAACACAGCTTCCAGCTCCCTAGCACTCCACAACGCCAATATGAGCGAGAGGTCGCCTTACATATGCAGTGTCATGTCGATGAGGTTCATTTGTTTCCCGCCGCACCAGACATTGTCGATCACTCTTCGTTTGGGGTTGGCTACGAATGTAACTTTGCAGTTGCTAGACTAGGACTTGGTCGGCGAACAGACGCATCCGCGGTTACATGCATCCTTGACCTCCGGCCAATTCTTTGTGGCTTCGAGCAATTGGTCTTCCCCGATCACGAGCTTGACGTCGCAAGAGTCATCGACCGCTATCTGCCAAGTGCACCATTTGGTTTTGGTGTTGGTCTTTTTGGGGGGCAAGAGACCAGCCTTAGCCTCCGCAGCATCGACAACGGCACTGTTCTCACAGTTGAATTCATTACTGATGAGCAACATCACAGCCTAGCGCACTCTCTCGCTGGCTATGCTCCTCCGTCTGGTCGCTGGCCGACGCAGATAGGTGCCACAGGAGTAGGATCCCCAATAGATAGCCCTCCCCCTAGCACTAGGGTTGCTCGCAACGGGGGCCGCGCTAACGGCAGGGTAACCCTTGGCCAGGCATCACCGACACTGCTAGGACTAGGTTTTCTTACTCCGCCTCAGTGTCCTTGCGCCAGCAAAAGAAGCTCCGCGCGGAAAGCTCGGTCTGCCAGCAGTGTTTTTGGCTTCCTGAGTCGGTGGCTCACTCTGGGACTTCTTGCTGCTCAGCTGCAACCCTCTGCAGCTAGCCAGTTGCCCTTTCACAAGGCCCTCTTTGTATCTTGCTGGCTGTGGCAGACATGTCTGCCCTGTGAAGCAATGACTACTGAACAAACATATTCAGATCTGCAGCAGAAGCACAGCCTCGGTTGTTTTGGTCCCACCATCGCAGGTGACGATAAGTGTGCCCTTGTTCGAAATGATGAAGCTTGTCCTAGCAGGCCGCAAGGGGATACCTCTGTCCCACCTTCATGTGCCCGGAAATGGCCCCAAGGCAGTCGCCGTTTGCCTACGCCTTGTCGTGCCAACCGGCCAACACCTATTATACTTGGGCCGACCCTCCTTGAAGAGGCCTTTGCTGCAGCAGACTGCCTGGCATACCTTCTTGCCGCGACACTCCTTGATACTCTCGAGGAGCACTTTCATGGTCAAGATGCCTCCTTTCCCACCTGTCCTCTAAGTGTGCCCCGTGATTACACCGAAAAGGACATGCCAGACCAGGTCACACGTACCCAACCATACCGGATTGATCTTGTTCAGGCCATTCCTCCTACGGTATATCAAAGTTCAGTTGAGACGTTACGAGACCTTGTTCCAGCCTCCTCAGGCCCTTCCGATGGCCCTGACTGGCTAGACACAGATTTAAGTCACTTGCTTGCAAGTGCTTCCGTCCCTTCCAAGTGGAAGCAGAAGTTTGCGCACTTTGTCTCGTGGTACGCAGCAGGCTCCCCACAACCAGATCACATTGAGGTGTTCACTGATGGTTCTGCAGACAGTTCGCAGGAGGTTCACTCCACTGGAGCACCATGCGCTTGGGCGTTCTCCGTCTGGGCTGTTGCTCCCTTTGGCCGTTTCCTTGTAGGATGGGCTGCGCACACCGCCGTACCACCCGACACCCCTTTTTCGCTTGGAGAAGAGGATGACACCGCGCTCACAAGTGAGCTACTTGCCCTAGGTTGGGCTACCATTTGGACGCTTGAATATGGTGGCACATTCCAGGCCCCCATTTTCTTCTGCTATGACTCTACAGGCGCCGGCTATGGAGTCTTTGGCACTCAACAGACTCCGAACTCAGCAACCGCGCGTTCATTAGCGGGTTTTGTATGCACTCTCCGCCACTGCCTAGATGCTAGGCTCCAGATTGGACACAAGCATGTTAAAGGTCATGCTGGCCATGTCGAAAACGAGCTCGTTGACCAGCTGTCCAAATATGCAAGAAGAGTGCAAGCAGACATATATGATCGGTGCCTCCCACTATGGCCCCAGCGTCTTCTACAACACCCACTTAAGGAATGGGCATGGCTTGCGCACATCTCTTGCACCTCACTGCCCTCGCTGTCTGCCTTTGAGGCTGAGGCGCACCGCCTGCAAGCGACAGAACCCGATTCAGTTCCCGCGCCCTCCTTCGGAGTCAAGCACGTTGAGAGGTCAGCCAGAGGCGTCACCTTTTCGTTTCAGGTGATGTCCTATAATGTTCTCACCATGTTCGATCCATCCTCAGCAAAAGGTCGCCTTGCCCGCAACCCCCAGGTAGGTCTGATGATCCAAGGAAAGCGTGACCTGATCAAACAGCAGCTGATCAAGCAAGGCATATGGCTAGCTGGCTTCCAAGAAACCAGACTTCCCGAGTCGGGTCAACTGCCGGATGGTGACTTCTTCATGCTCAACTCCGCAGCCACAGACTCTGGCAGCTATGGCTGTGCACTGTGGATCAATTTATCCAGGCCCTTCGCACATGTACAAGGTGTGCCTTGTAGAGCCCAAAGAGAGCATATTGTAGTCACGAGCTACTCGCCAAGGCATATCAGGTCCAAATAGACACCCCGTGGATCAGGCTTACTGTCCTTGTCGCGCACGGTCCTAGCGCGATTCGGCATGAAGACTCGGCCTGTGCCTTTTGGACTCAAAGACAGCAAGATTTGGCCAAAAGGCCAGAGGGTTCCGAGGTCATTTTGCTCGTCGATGCTAATGGAAGAGTAGGATCTATACCTACTACTGCTGTTGGTGAGCATGCTCCTGAACAAGAAAATGACGCCGGTGCTATTTTCCATAGCTTTCTACTCGAGCTTCAATGTATGCTCCCTTCCACTTTTACCGAGTGGCATACCGGCCAATCGTGGACATGGACTGCGCCCGGGGATGACCCCACCCGGCATCGTATCGACTACGTTGGTGTTCCTGACAATTGGAACACCTTCCGATTCAGTAGCTGGGTCTGGCCCGAGTTCGAGTCACTCCAATCCAGACTTGACCACCTCCCCGTCGTCTTGGAGCTGTCGTTCTGGAAAAGACTCCCTGGACTCAGCTACACGCAAGCCCAACGGATAGCACACCGACCGACCAGAACTCCACAGCTCGCGCAGCGAGTCCACTTCGTGCACACACTGAGTGCCGCCCCCCCCAGTGCCCTGGGAAACAGATGTCGACGAGCATTTTTCTGGAATCGTGACTTTGTTCCACTCTGCATCAGCAAAGCTCGTCGATACTACCCCTGCACAGCCCAAGCAACCTTATCTGTCACAAGACACTCTCGTGTTGGTGCAACAACGAGCCGCCTTGCGCCGGTATCTCAAAGCAGAAGATCGGGAGAGAGGCAGACGCCTTCTTCTGATCTTCTTCGCTGCCTTCGTACACTTCCACCAAGGTACCACTTTTTCAAGTGAGGCCACCAGTACGGCACAACAGTGGCTGACAGACATCGATATCAGCATTGCTAGAGCTATTTCTGGCATGGACCAGCTCACCGAATCAATTCGCAGGGCAGTTCGTATCGATCGAACTGCCTACCTTCAGGGACTTGTAGATAACCTGTCATTAAAGGAAGTCCTTCAGCCCCAGCGGCTCTTCGCTGCCGTGCGAAAGGCCTTTCCACAGGCAAGGTCAGCAAGACGTGCTGCACTTCGCCCCCTTCCAGCCATTAAGGGTGAGGACGGCAGCTTAGTTACCGACCCGGCTGCCCGCAACGAACGCTGGCGGGCATTCTTTGCTGAGCAAGAGGCCGGGGAAATCGTTCCTGATGGCGCTTACCCTGACTTCTTTCGTCAACCCAGCATAGGTGCCAACTCACCGTATACTGCTTTTAGTATAAGTACCCTGCCGACACTCCGCGAGGTTGAACGAGCTCTTCAGTCTTTAGCATATGGTAAGGCATCCGGTCCCGACGGTGTCACGGCCGAAGAACTCCGGATCGCCCCACAGGCCTCTGCTATTACGGCATTTCCGCTCTTCTTGAAGGCCACATTAGCCGCCAGAGAACCTATTGAATGGCGAGGCGGCAATCTCATTGCACTTGCCAAAAAAGTTGCTAAGGCCCTCGAATGCAGTGGATACCGCTCGATACTTCTCGCTAGTGTTGTTGGTAAAATCCACCACAAGATCATCAGAGGAAAGCTTGAACCTCATCTCAGGCGATTCAAGTTAGGTCTGCAGGCAGGCACATCGAGCGGCGTTGGAGTTGACATGGTTGCTCTTGCGGTCAAGGCCTTCAGAGGATGGTCTGTTTCCAGCTCGACTTCAGCCGCGGTCACATTTTACGATATTAAAGCAGCATACTACCGCATCTTGCGCCAGACATTGATCCAAGCCCCGGATCAAGATGGGCCGTTGCTCCATCTCTTGCACAAGATAGGTATTCCTGCACGTGCCGTTGCCGAGTTGCTCCAACACCTTACCCAGATGTCCCTTCTGAGCGACGCCGGGGTCTCTGAGCATACGATTTCGGTTGTTGCGGACCTTTTCAGGGGAACTTGGTTTAGGTTAGAATCTTCCGAGGTCTTGACTGGAACAAGACGAGGAACCCGCCCTGGAGACCCGTTAGCTGACCTGCTTTTCGGGTTTAGTTTTGCAGGTTATCTTAGAGCGGTTGATAACACCTTAGAGAGCAAAGGCCTTAGCACATATGTTCCGCAGGATCTTTCCCCCGCACCATGGGACGACTGGACTGTTCCTGAGACTGTGAACCACGCCTCGTGGGCTGACGACTATGTCCACTTACAGTGCGCCCCCACAGCAGAATCTCTGCCCCAGCACATCATTGTTTCCTCTCAAGTACACCTTGAGAGAGCGTCTTCGATCGGCATGAGTCTGACTTTTGCTCCTGACAAATCCGCCACTATGCTCTCCTCACGTTTTGACCGTACTCGAGTCGCCGAAATTGTTCTAGACCCGGAAGGTCAGCAGGGGTTTGAGATTCCGGATCATGTCAGTGGGGAGACTCAATTTCTACCCATTGTCGACTCATACAGGCACCTCGGTGGCATTTTGACGGCTAACCACAGTCCCGCTGTCGATATTGCATTCCGGGCTGCCCAGGCCTTGTCCATTCTCCGCCCACTTCGTCGTCGGCTGTTCCGATCCCAAAGCATCCCTCTCACAGTGCGTCATACAATGCTGAGATCACTTGTTATCTCCCGGTTTGCCTTTTCTTGTGCTACTGTGGATCTGCATACGGCACTGCATAGGCGCACCTGGTGTAGGCACTATGTTAGTTTTTGGAGAGCGCTATGCAAGCAGAAGCAAGGAGAAAAACCAGCTCACTGCTACGCGGTGTTGCGTTACACCGGCGCCACTTCTCCTTTGCTTGCGCTTGCCCAGGCGAGAGCTACCCTACTCGCTCGGATTCTGGAGTTCGGGCCTGGTGAGCTTCTTCACCTTCTGTATGTCCACTGGCATTCTCATCCAAAGGACTCATGGCTCCAACAAGTTCTTCTTGACCTTCGTGCAGTTGCGATTTACTGCCCATCCGCCGCACTCGTTCTCCAGTCGTCTTCCCCTGTTCGAGCCTTTTTTGATGCACTTCAATCTGAGCCCGGATGGTGGAGGAAACAGGTCGGCCGTGCCATTTCTGGTTTCGCCAAAGACCTTCAACACTGGAGTAGCATGTACCGGCAATGCGATGTGTCGGATCCTCCTTCAGACCAAGAGCCAGAGACCTCGGATGTCCTGCCCTTTGCGTGCAGATGGTGTTCACAAACCTTTGCCCTCCACCAACATGTCGCCCTACATGAGGCCAGACGACACGGTGCACTGAGCCCTGCCAGACACTTTGCGTATACGGCCTGGTGTCTATCATGCATGACGCACTTTCACACGATTGAGCGGGTTCAGAATCACCTGCGCGGTAATCACCAATGCCTTATGCGCTGCGCTCTAGTCGTTCCTCCTCTCTCCCGTGCGGATTTGAGGGAAGTTGAGCAGCTTGGCAAAGCGCAGGCCTTGCGCATCAAGAAGGGTATGTGGACTTCATTCCGCTCAGCCTTTCCTTCCTCCGTCGCTTTCGGTCCTAGACTTCCAACCTACGACGAGGCTGTCTCTGGATTAGGTGAAGACGAGCTCTCCCTTCATAGGATTGCTAGGCTGTACAGACCGACGCCAGAGATTTTGTCATGGGTTGCGGGTACATGCGACAGGCATGCACCCGAGGGCCCACGTAAGGACACAACCGACTTCTGGTTGCAACGTCCCAGCGACGCATTTCCAAATGTCTCACCCAGAATTTAGTTGCATTTTTGAGACGCGCCCGAATAGGGCTCGGATGTCTGACCGCAATACCGCAATATACCGCAATACTCTTTTGGGGGTTCCCTTTATTATGATAATGGTATAATGGGGCCCCCCCAAAACCCCATTCTAATGATTCAGGCGCCGATATTACTTTTCCCATGTTCAGAGTTCAGTATTCCAAAGCCCCTTAACTCTGAACCACGCCCTCAACCCGTATCCCTAAGCCCTAAACCCTTGGGAATGCATGCAGAGAGAGGGTTTAGGGGTTTAGGGTTCTAGGGTTTGGGGTTTAGGGTTTAGGGTTTACGGCGGTTCGGG